TCAACTGCATAAAAACCAAGTACCTGAAACAAGATCATTATTTATTCACCTTTGAGTACAAACCTCAGGTAATTGTAACACCTGTGGCTGTGTAGAAAGCCAGGTACCTTTTTAAAAAAAATCTTAGTTATGAATTATTCTACTTGTTCTCTAGTATTTAAAAAAATACAAAGTCATTGGTATAGCACAAATTTTCCTTCACTAGTTAAGAATAATTCTAAGGCTATGGGATTATCCATGATAATTCTAGCTAATTAATTTAAATTTAAATGAGTTTATTGGGCTTTCAGAGACAAAGTTGTGTAATTTTTGCTACTCTTTTCCAGTAGGGTTTTTTTTTTGTTTGTTTGTTTGTTTTTTGTGTGAGAGGTATAGCCCATATGCATAAAGAGGGAGTTTTCCTTACAGGAAAATTTTCCAAGTTGCCTGCACTTGCCTATTTTTACAGGTTTCTGAGCATTCTTTTCAGGAAAATATAATTCCTAGTACTTTTAAATTTCTAACAATTTTTCTGAAAACACAAGTTAAATTAGCATGTGGCAGAAAGGTATATTTCACATACTTAGTACTATACTAGTAGGTACATTATATTACGAACAAATTCAACTGGAGCAGGCCAAACGTTTGTCGGTCAAGTTGGGAAAATGCCTTGAATGATGTTAAATAGGTTGGTGTGTCTCTGAAGAGAATAAATTGATTGTTTCAGGGAGATCCTAATATTACTTCTCACGGTTTTTGCTGGTAATAACTTCAGCAAAAATATTTTGCTAATATAAGATCATGGCTTAATTTTTATAAGGCTAAACAGAAGTTAGAATTAATGATGTGAGTGAAATTTAAGTTATGGAAGGTCCTATAAACGATAATCTACCTTTTGAACTGCTTGAAGGAACAGTTACTAAATTAGTCTGATGGCACCTATTACTTGAAAAAAACACTTCATAAAGTTTTGTTTTTTCTTAAGTGGTCAAAGGTCATACAGAATCCACATAATAGAATGAAGATAAAGGATATCATTGAGAAGTCTTTTTGTTAGTTTAATAAAGGCTATCAAAATAGAACAATAAATAAGATTACTAGTAAAGAAAAAGCAAATGGGTAATGAAGAATAAGAAAATTAATCTTCCATTGTCTTGGGCGGAAGCTGCTTTTTCTGTAGTCAACAATGTGTTCCATCATCTTGGGTGGAAAATTTCTATAGTCAGAAGCTTCTGGACAATTCCTAAGAATCCTAAATTTAAAGTCAGAAGAAAGTGTATGTCTTTTAATTTGAGATCAACATCCTGGAGTTTTAGTAGGATGTGGATGGTTAACATCACCAGGTGAGATGTATTCCATTGAGGCTTGAAGGCAGTTTTTTCTCTAATACCTCCTTTGGAAAACTCAATATCCAGGTTTCAGAATATGTAGAGTCTACTTAGGTAGGTGTTTTAGAAATGCAGCTTGCTGGTGAAAAAGCTGGAGGCATCACATGAATCTCCTGTAGCATTCTGTCATATCAGCTTGTAATAGGTTAGAATCTACTATTGGCAATAATGTCCAAATGCATGAGGCAACCTGATTTTAACTCACAAAGAGACAACTTGTAATTTTAAGAAGAGATTGATCTTACTGCATCAAGGCTAATGGCAATAATTTGGGCATTGGAAATTTGAGGTTTTATAGAGCTTTGATAGTCATAGCTTTAGAATTTTGTGTGTTCTTCTCATTTTTCCTGGAGTCATAGATAAAGATAGTGAAGACTTTGAGTAAAAGATAAAGCAAGAATGAGATAGATGTAAAAGATAAAGTGAGAATGGGTAGATAAAATACCCTGTATTTTTATAATGCCTTTCTCTCTCTCTTCTCTCTCTCTCTCTCTCTCTCTCTCTCTCTCTCTCTCTCTCTCTTTTCTTAAGTAGCTTGAATTGATGTATATTATTCAGGTATGTGAAAGATGCACAACACCACTAATCATCAGGAAATGCAAGTGAAAACCGTAATGAAATATCACTTCACATCTGTTGAAATGAACACAATTTAAAAAAAAAAAAAGAATAGGTGTTGGCAAGTTATAAAATTTCAGTTATACAACAGGTATAAAACTTCATTTAAACAAAATAAATTTTTTCTGGAGATCTGCTATACAACATTGTGCTTATAATGAACAATGCTGTACTGTACACTTAGAAATTTTTTAAGAGGGTGGATCTCATGTTAAGTGTTCTTACCACAATCAAAAAATTTTTCAATAAGTAAACCTACTGGCTAATTTGGTTAATAGCACAAGACCATTGGGAGCAGGACACTGTATGTTGTGACCCTCTGGTTGCAGAACAAGGCTCCTATCGTAGTAAGTGCTAAAAAAAATAGATGCTGAAAAAAATGAAAGCACAATTCAGTGCATACTTTAATGGATACATTTTCACAATATATATTTTTTAATTCCCAAAGAGTGTATAAACAAGACTTCCCAAAATGTTGTCTTCTGAGAACGTTTGACATAGACTGCTTTAAAAATTAAAATATATCCATTACTTATAACAAGAGAGAATAAAAAAATAGCTCTCTAATAAGAAAGGAAGAAATTTCCCAAAGATTATTTGACACAATCCTTCTGTAAGTAGCATCTTTCTCACTAGAGGGAGCACAGAACACACTGATCAGTGGCAAGAGAAGCTGAATAAAACGCCATTTCACTTTAGGGGAAAATGGTCTGTTTGAGTATATATGACATCTATTTCCAGAAATTGGGAATTTTCCATATGTCAATTTTCTTCAATTATTAACCGCTGAAATTTTAAATTGTACAAAAGGCGATTAATGCAAAGCTTCCTAATAGTCAATAAGTTAGCATTGTAAGTAAATATACTGTGGGTCTAATAAGAGATGTGACATTATCCTTGTTCTCTTATGAGAACATATTCCTAGCGTTCATGAGAAAGAGCAAATACTATAAGGTAGTGATGATTATGGGTACCCAGAAAGGCTGTTTGAGGAAATTCTTGTTCTCTGGCTGCTCTTTTCCTGTTTCCATGTATAACCCTGCGAGGCATTTTACCCTTTAAAGTTGCACCTTCTTGGGTACATTTGAGGAAGAGGTCTATCTCATATCCTAAGCTAGTGTGCCCAGCAGCCTGTTTCTGTCTCCTCTGGCACTCTCAGCTCCAAAACTGAGGAGACATCAAGAAGGTGCTGCCACCACCCTGACCTCAGGGGCCAAACCCTTCATTCCCACTAAAGACCATGGAAGAAAGTTTCACTAAAGGCTTGGGGGGTGAGAGGGAGGAGTGGGGCAGCACTATATCTTAAAGTCCCTGTCCCTTTAGCCTCTGCAATTGGGAACTTCCCCTGGCCATCATTATTCCTCAGGTTCCAGATCCACTACCATCCCCAGGATGCAACACCTTACTTTACCCTTTGAAAATGTTCCCATTTCTCTTTATCTTGGACTAGAGTTCCAGTATTTCCTATGCAAGTATGTCACCAAATATTAAATGGGACATACTTACCTTAAAAAATTCCTCACTTATCTGAAATTCAGATTTTACTAGACATCCCCCCCCCCGCCACGCTCACCCCCTGCCTGCCCCTAAATGTAACAACTCCAGAGCATTTACTCTTTTTTCCCTGGGATCAGGGGAGGAAGCCCACGTTTCCCCCTTTATTAAACAACTTCTGTTTCTTTCGTCCCCTCCCACCCAGGCCATACCCAGAGAAAACCACTTATCTCATTTCTCTCCCTTAGGACAAATATTTGGCTTATGTTTTAAATAGCAGAGTTCTTTTCTGTCTGTCCCAGTAATCTATCACGATTGTTAACATATTTGCAGCCTCCAACAAGTTGCATGGATCAATTTGTTCTCGGGTTTCAGAATAGCCTCATCCACACATTCAGTCCATTGAATTCATGTTCACTCCGTCTTTATATAGTAAGTGCTGGCCATCAAGATGCGTAAGAGAAGGGTCCTGTCTGTGGGAGGCAATGCGGTTTAAAACCAGGAGGTAAGCAGCTATCCCACATCGGCTGATGGCTCTGAACCTCGCTGAAAACACTGAAGTCACATTTCTCTTGGGCATAGATTGTAAATGGGTGACATTTGAAGGGAAAGGACAGCCTTCTGGAACGCCAACATCACACATATTTTTCTTAAATTTCTCCCTTTCTGAGCAAAGTGTCTGGAAATGTATCCCTTAAAATAATCCTTTCTATGAACCTTTTGGAAAGTCTTGAACTTTAAAACAGGAAACATTGAGGAGTATGAGCCGAATCCCAGCAAGAGGAATTGAACTAAATGTTTATTTGCCCCACAGGGATATATGGTCAGAGGCACCGAAGTCAGAATGGGTTTTACCAAGGGGACCAACCACTCTGAGTCCATGGTGAACTCTCTCTTCCTCCCCCTCCCCCGCATCTTTCTAAATTACACCCCTTTTTCAGATACATTTTTTTTTCTTGTGGACCAAAGCATTTAACCAGGTTCTATGGATGCCTAGAAGCAATCATAAGATTTTCACTTATTTGTACACCTATCGTTTATATGTAGATCTTACTGTTCAGCTTTCAGAAGCAATACACACACACCCCACACTTCTTTTTGTTTAATTCCTGGTTAGAGGAAAGTAGGAAACAGAGACTGGGTTCCAGGCCGGGACGCGGGCAGAGCGAGTCCCAGGCAGGGTGGCACAGGACACCTGGGAGAGCAGCTCTCCAAGGCACTGAGTGCGGGCGCCTGCGGGTTCCCTCCGGCACCACCCGCACGAGCCGGCCTCCCAGCGGG